AGAATAAGACATCGGAAGTTGTTCTCGTACTCGGCTTAGCCTCGGACTGACTTGTTCAAATAGCGCTGCGCAGTCGACTTTGAAYTCCGTCCTTCTGCAGTCTTCATTATCCGTCTTGAAACAATGCGTCAATCAATGGAGCTGATATTAAATTTATTATCTTGATTTGCCATTTTTCAGTCAAACGTCGCTGTCGTGACAAGAAACCCATGATGTGTCATTTTTGGAGGCGACGTCATCAATGCMATTCAAGTAAAGTCCGAAAGCTGTGCAATAGAACTTGTAGAGTCTGTACAACATGACAGCAAGTTGAAATCTATAGTCATCTTATACGAATGCAATACAACCGCCGTTCTAYAGCTTTGGAWTTTCCAGCTACAGTCRAAGTCCGCACTGATGGAGTGAGAAATAGAGTGCTGCTTAAGAAAGAACAAATAAGAAAGAGCAAATAATAAGTTTTATTATTGGATTCAATGTTAAGTACTACCTATATTACATTGATTTTACAATAAACTACATTAACAAAAAGTTGAATTTGAAAATTGAAAGCATCGCTTTTGCTGCGACGCAAACTCAAGCGCAATGATAAGCGGAAGCACAAACCTTGCCAAAATAATAAATGTCCTGTAAATACTAATGCAGCAAGCGCAAGAACGTAATACACAAGTTTCAGTATTTCATATTTCATTTTCTATCTTTGAGGTCTTTTAAGTATAACACTGRAAATCCTATAACTGATCATTCTTTGCATGCAGCCTTCACTCGTGGAAAAAAACCCTGCAATCGGAAATATGACATGACGTTTGAAATACTGGCACTTTGAAAGCATTCATTGTTGTGAYACATTGCGACTCTGCGTTTTGTGTTTTTTTTTTCCTACTACCGTAATACCAAAGTGAGAGTAAACGCAGACGCAAACACTGGAAAAAATCGCGCGCTTTAAAGGTTGTAAATTTACAACCTTTATGGCGCGCGATTTTTTCCAGTGAAATACAAGCGCAAGGAAGGAACTGAAAAAAATACTCCTTCCGTTTTGGTTTAATATACCAAGCATTTGAACTTGTTTGGCTAAGTTTTCTCTGTGTTTTAAACTTTAACAGCCTTACGAATGTGCCCTTAAAATTGGCTTGCTTGGGTTTGCGTAACAACTAGTCTTATTTAATGATTTGAGTCAGCCATATAATCTAGTGGAAATAGTTTCAATCAGGTACGGCGTCCAAAGGAATGGTTGTACAATCCCGGTACAGTGTTCAAGTGGATTTTTTTATCCGCTGGAAAAATATCTATCCAGTTGATGGAGCTATTCACTCCTTATACTTCGTACTTCAGCGGTTAATTAAATCGATAGAGTTGTMAATGTTCAAATGCTAAAATGTGGTGCCATGCACCTAAATTTATCGGATATATATCTACATGACTGTGGTAAAGTTTGTACGGCAGGTTTTTTTGTTATCTTGATTAAAAGGAATTATTTTCAGATTTCTAACTAGCATGAGGTAGTCTTTCCTAGAGAAGAGACCGAGTCTCTGTCWGAACTACTAGATCTCGATCTGTTAGAAGCTTGACTGCTAGAAGTGTCAGATCGGCTTCGTCGTTCGTTAGTTGCACTTCGAATAACAGTCTCGCCGTGCATAAAGCTAAGAGGWGTGCCGTACTCTGACTGACCRGAGAAACTAACTGGAGAACCGAAGTCATACCGACCGTGAAAACTAACCGGACTRCCATATGTTGATCTACCAGAAAAACTAATCGGGCTTGCATAGATAGACCGATCGGTCGGACTAGCTGGGGATTCTGCATTACCCATAAAGCTTAGAGGGGTGCCGTACTGCGAMCGATCAGACAAACTTTGAGGCCTTACAAAAGCAGATCGTCCAGARGGACTCAATGGACTCGTAAATGCAGACCTTTCTGAAAAGCTTACTGGACTCAAAAATTCCGTCCGGTCGTAAAAGCCTATAGGACTACCATATTCCGACCTGCTGGATGTACTTGCGGGACTACTGTTTCTGGAGTGGCCCGATGAACCRCTCGAAGAGCGCTTGTAACTGTCGCGGTGTTTCCACACTTGATCTTCATCTTTTTTCGTAATAAGAGCTTTTTCTTCTTTAGRGATAACCTTGATGATGAAATGAAGCTGCGGYTCGTCACTATATGGAACTTTCTCTGCTCGTACTTTTCCCATATGGTTTATTGATAAGTACCAGCCTCGGCCATGCGCGTCAGAGTAGCACGTGCGAATGAGCGTGAAAAAATTTCTTCCTAGAAACTCTCGGAATACGCATTCCTTCCTTTCTTCTAACTACGAGAAAAACAAAAGACAAATCACCCTGTAATACTCAAAGACCCCTTTAAAAATAAATGAAACAAGTATAATAAATTTTGCGTTTCTGCTGTTTGTATCGACAAAGTTTCTTACATACGTTTGACGAGTATATATTTCACAATTAATTGTTACTCCCAGGTAGACCTTTACTCCTGTCTAAGTCCTTTAAATGTCGATTTATAAAGCGATCTACTTCCAGTGCTCTTTACTGTTGGGTTCGTAAACCTCGCAGTTACGTGTCCGTTTGTAGATTGCTTTTCTCCATACAAAACACATTACAGTCTATAAAATTCGTTACATTTTCGTCCCTATATGATACGTATGGTGGTGCTTACGCGTTACGTTTACAAATATTCCGTATGACAAAACGATCGTTCATGACTAAGTTTCTAACGCTGCGTCAGTTCGCAAAGCTCTTAGCGTTCTTTTTACGTACGCGTATAGGTTTTACATTGAAAGAGTGAAAAGCGCTAACTCCCTACGTAGTCATGTCGGTCCTAGGTTATGTCAATAAGACCTCCTTACATTATGCCAATCATTACGTTATGTCAATAAGAGGTCCTTGACGTTTATGTCGCTCCTTACGTTACGTTTAAGTTCCTTACGCTCTGTTGTGTTTGTGTTATGCTTACCGCGGTAAACACCTTTCCTCTTTCATCTACTGCGAGATATCTCTTGGCTTCCTCTCCTACGATAGCCACGAAGTTTGGWCCAACAGATAACACTAATAACTCACCTAAAACAATCGAYAAAAACTTGAACGAATGTCSGAAGACAGTACAGCTCTTAAATTWAATAGAGAAAAACAGACGCGACTGCAAGAGTAATATGMAATTGTAATTTCCGTATTTCGTATTAGTAATTCTCCACTCAGAAATAAGCTTTCCCTTTCTTTCAATTTTCCGATTTTTAGAACAAAATCCAAGGCCAAGCAAGCTATCAAAGAAATGCGAGAAAACAAAAGAAAGAAGACTATAGGCGATTAAACTAAGTAGCGATGTCATCTTCATTCACAATATTAAAATGTGCTTCAACGCGGAAAGTCAATTAATGAACTATTTATTATTTCAAAAAACCGGTCCTTGCTTGCAAACGAACGATGACAGAAAATACTACGATTCATGACAAATTAGCTTTATTTCGACTGCCAGGAATTATTCTAAACACTTACTGTAGATACTTGAAGGGTTTTTAGTACAAGAGACATCGCCGTTGCTTTTAATTTCTAAGTAATACCCAGTCTTGGACATGATTTTCCTTCTCCTCATGTACTTATACAGCGAAGGGAGGCTACAAGCGCTTGGCTGAATTCGTGGCATTTTGTAATTGACTCTTTCTACCATCATTCAGTCGATATTCTTTGTTTTAAAGCCAGAACAAAGACAATATAAACTGACTCCTTGTAGAAGTTGAGATGACTATGACTCGAAGGATTAAATATTAATAGTGTGTTATTTTGAACCCCAAGCGAAAAAGTAATATTTAAACCACACACGGATCTTCCGGGCTCTGTTCAGGCATGAGAGCCAATCCAGGACGCCATTTCCTAATTATGTGAAATATTCATTCGCAGAAGCGATGGCTCTTATTCGAAGCGTAATTCGCCTTCATTTCAAGTGGTTTTGAATCTATTGAAATCGTTTCCCTACTCTCCGAAGCTAAGCATATATACTGTCAAATTACGAAGTCAGTTTGAGATTTTGACCATTGGGTTTTACAAATCAGTGATTGCATGTTTTTGAGGAATTGAAAAAGTAGTCAAAAAATGAAATTAGAATTCCCGTGATACTTGATGTATAAAAAGGAAAGGAAGACGGGGGCACTCTTTTGAGAAAGAGCAGCTGCCGTTGCTAACTCTGTGCCGCGTTATGTTAGTTCAGCTGTCGTGTAAGCCAGTTAGCACGTACAGTTTACGGATCACATGATCATCAAAACGGGGTGTCTGTAAAACACGGAACACCACCGGAACACCCCGGAACACCCAGGAACACCCAGGAACACCCAGGAACATGGCCGGAACACCCCGGAACACCGTCGGAACACCCCGGAACACCGCCGGAACACCCCCGGAACATCTCGGAGCACCAAAAATAAAAATAATGATAACAAATGAAATAAAGTGAAATAAACTTTTAATTCATCGATCAATTACTTGACCAATGAACATGAACAAGGTACTAGGGATATAGAATAACAGAATTCGATTGACGTTAATGTTTCTACAGAGCTTGGTGGTCAAGTTTTTTCTTTTTTTTGTGACAAGTCAATCAGAATAATAAAAGAGGGCTTTCGACCTAATCTAAAACGACTGCATTTTAAAATACGAAATCTGTGTGTGCTCATCTAAACCTTATCAGCCTTATAGACCAAGCTCCTTCTTGATAAGGTCCTTATGGCTTTGAACAAGACGGCAACTAATGTCAGGAGGACATATGCAAAAGTGAGGAATAAAATAGGGCTGTTTCTTTCTAATGCATTTCTCATTGCAGTGGAAATAAACATTAGACAATTTGGACTGCCTATCCCCATTAGCGTTGGTGAATTCTCTGTTCATCTTTGACACGATGTGTCGGCCAATGTGACCGTTGGGCTTACGCTTTCGCTTTCGCTTACAGCTTTCGCTGTCTACAGCATCACCAGGGAATGAGCGAGATAGAATAAACACGTAAAATATAAGGCGAAGCGGTCAAGCGTATAGATGGATAGTCAAGGGCGAATTTATTCTATCTCGCTCATTCCGTGATGATGCTGTAGACAGCGAAAGCTCGGAATCATATTTTTGTTGTAAACTCGATCTACACACTTATTTTCCACATCACTTAACTATGCTGCTAAAGGATAACTTTCAACGTCTACTTATGTTATTATTATTATTTTTTTTGGGGTGTTCCGGCCGTTTTCCGTCATGTTCCGTCATGTTCCGTGGTGTTCCGGTGGTGTTCCGGGGTGTTCCGGCCATGTTCCGGGGTGTTCCGGGGTGTTCCGTGTTTTACAGACGCCCATCAAAACGTGCATTCTTTTCAAGAAACTAATCAACCGCCAACGCGTAAACATCAGAATTGGAATGTCGCAATATAGCTTTTTCCATAGCGCAAATCATGAATTCATAAGCGAAGAATCTATAGCCGAAGGTAAAGAAACTGAAGTGTGTTGAGAAGTGATCCTTCCATGGGAGGCAGAAATCCTGAGAAATCAGTTGTCTCGTCTAAGACGGAGTGTCTATTGCGATTATTGACATTCAAGTCGTTCAAAGTTGTACAACGCAGTCCAATTCGGACTGCGACAACCCTTCAGCCCTTCGACTGGGACTATAGTTCACTTCAGTTTTAGGAGTGTGCAGCTTTTTCACCTCTCTCGGGAAGGAAGATGTAATCGGCCAATTTTTAGTCAAATCGAGACGCTCTTTCGTCGTCTGACACGATATTTTAGACGATATATAGACAAGAGTTCGTAGTATTTTTTTTTATTAGCCACCAACTGTTGTTGTTGTTATTATGTGAGTAAACAGATACTTTGTATCTTCAGCTGAAACTTCTTTAATCCCAGAGTGCACCTCCACAGAAATAGCACCACATGATATCAAAACCACTAAGACTCCAACATACTATTCGAATANNNAGATCAGTTCCCATTCATAAGTCCCAACGCCCTGGGAACGAAAGTTTAATCTTCTTGTAATTCTTGTGAATAGTTTCATAATCTATCTCTATAAATTGACAACATACCTTGTGCAGATTGTGAATCTCTTTCGTGCGATTCTGTAGGTGATGACCAAATCCATCTCGACTAGAAAAATAAAAAAGATAAAATATTACCTCAGGCTCAAGAACTCTGCCGTTGATCAATTTTTTCATGTTCGGGTTTCCTGTGCCCTGGTATTCCAGCAACAGGTTCACCGCGAATGATTTTTCAGAGTTACGTACTGGTCAACAACACCATACCAATACCAAAAAACTCCTTTAGCAGTGTCACCAGTAAAACAAGTCAATTGATAAACAAAGCAACCTGCATAGGAATGTATTTGAATATTTTCACAAACATTTTAACAAGCAGGGGGACTAGCTCAAATGGTAGAGCGCTCGCTTAGCATGCGAGAGGTACCGGGATCGATACCCGGGTTCTCCAGGCTAACTTTTTTTCTTTTTCCCCCTTTTTTATTTGTCCTTTAGATATCATTCGTATAATTTTCAAATGACTTAGACAGCACTTACCGAGTTAGGATAGTTATAATTATTTGTCATTTTTGCTGGTTGTGGGTTATTTTTCCTATGCCTTGAGTACGGTACTACAAACGCCAATGTCATGGGCTTCCGCTCTTGAAAATGATGGTTGTACATGGTTTTATTAAAAGCATAGTCGATTCGGGCGTAATTCGTCGAATCTGGCCTATAAAAAGGAAGAGATCGTACGGAATGACATGAATAAAATACCCAGATAAAACATTGCCGTCAATTAATTCTTATGTACTTTCAATATCTACTAAATGAATAAATAAAAACATGCATCCTTTTAACACAAACGAAATAGTGCCAAAACTCGTATAAAACACTTGCGCAGCAGTTGGGGGAATTATAACATGTAACGTTGCTATGGCAACATCATAGGGAATAACATCGATTTGACTTTGCAATTTCTTACCTCAACGGAGCAGGCGGGTCGATCTGTTTTTCATGAAAATCCTGGCTATATTTTGTAGAATACATATGCGAAAAAGCGTAAGGTTTGAAAGCTGGTTTGTACAATGCCGAGAGAGAAGTCAGTCGTAATCCTGGACGGCCAAAACCATCTTGACTACCGGTCCTGTGTGTTGGATTGTTTACTAGAAAATCGAGTCATAAAACTCAATTAAAACTAAGGAATTTCAATTATTAGTGAATCATTCTTAATAATTACCCGCAGAAGCYCTAGAATCTATGTTTCTAAGCCCTGAATCTGCTGTTCTTTGTCTGTGTGCTGTTGTTGTTGGCCTTTCGAGCTGKCTCGGTGAAGGAGGAAAATTAGATGTAGAGTCCTGCTTCATAATCAAGGAGCAAGCTTTCAGGATGTGTAGCAAATTTCCCGCCTTTTAGAAAACAAGATAAAGCARTTCTACTTGCTAGAAGGATAAATTCTTTTGAGAAGTTAAACAATGTTTTTTTGATGGYCACGTTTGGAAAGTCTGTTTACAGTTCATACGCTCGAGTGACTCTTGAGAGCACCACGTGACATCGAACAGTATCAAATTGCCTCCGAACGCAGTCTACGATTAATATTTTTCAGCAATAACTTCATTTATATTGCACAATTAGGATTTCTTGTAGAATAAAATGTAAAGTTTTAAACGAAACTTCAAAAATCGCTTCTTTATCATTATTCGTAAAAAAAAAAGACGTATGCGGTCTGATAAGGAATTTAAACTAAATAGAATAACAAAGACAAAAAAGAAAAAGAAAAAATGAACAAAAATAAATGAAAATAAAAAAAGAAATAAATGTAAATTTGCATGAGATCGAGACGGAACAGGAGGGAGACTAAGCACTAATATATCCCGTCGCGCTCCGCGCACTTGTTCAAAAAATGGCGGMTAACTCKTGTCCAGTTCTGTTTCTGCAGGAAAATGGAGAACCAATGAAATTTTACCTGCATGAAAATACAAACAAAAGTATTCGTAGTCTAATAGAGGTAAGAAACATTGTTTTTGAGACTGATTTTGTAAATTCTCTGCAAAATCTTCACATATTTCATAGCCAGAACTCGAGACAGCAATTTTGATCACTCGATGTTTTGTTGTTTACAGAAAGGAGGCGGGTGTATTTGTAACAAGCTAGGTGCTAATTCACGTGAAGTTATCAAGTAAGTCACCACTGGATAACAAATAGTCATACTATCTAGATATTTACGATRGATAAGTAATGGTTTGTTCGATAATGGGACGACATGAGCGAAATATTCAGACTGGCCATAGTTAACTTAAGTTAACTATGGACTGGCAGACAACAAAAATCACATGCTTTTGGATATTAAAGCATGTCAGAGATTTCTTAAGTTATAATGAGAGAAGCGGCTCTCTAATATTTTTAATAACTCCTACTTGTTCAGGGGTACTCATTTATGAGGTGCACTGTCAAATAAACAAAGTTGATTCATACTGCACATTTTMTTTTAACTGCAACAAAATTAAAGAGCCTGTAGTTTTGCTGTTAAAGTAAATGTCTGTCTTTTATGTACATTTATGATTAATTTTGTTTCAGGCTTGCAAGTCCTTCTCAAGGTGATACTGATCCGAGTACCAAGGATTTTGTCTCTACAGATTTCATCATGGACAGTGTTAAACAAGAAGTTGCACAAAATATTGGCAATTATAAATTGTAAGAATGTTGTTACAAACTTGTTTACTGTAATAGATTATACATCTATTTAATAGCACAAATAATGAGAAGTAACTGTTGAATACCTACTTAGCAAAATTAGCAATCTTTTTTATATGTAATTAAATTTAAATTTAAATTTCAATTCTTGTTTACTGTAATAGATTATATATCTATTTAATAGCACAAATAATGAGAAGTAACTGTTGAATACCTACTTACTTAGCAAAATTAGCAATCTTTTTTAATGTATAATTAAATTTTAATTTTATTATGTAATTATAATTAAGGCATATATTGTGATTTGTGAAAGTACAGTATCTGTAGTTGCATGATGGAAACTGAGTTTGGTGAAGCAAAGTGGTGGCTCTTTTGAAGCAAATTCTCACTTTCTGATTGGTTAACTAAGCTTTCCTTGAGTGACTACTGCAAAGCAGGTTGCRCTGTATGAACAACAGTGCCCTGCATAACTACAATCTTTTTTTGCTGGATAATGTTTTATGCCTGTTTCTTGAAAGCTTGTAATTGAATTCAATGCTTTCAAGCTGATATAAGTGTATCAGATTTTCTGTGATTKCACAGTTAAGTGGCTTGAACAATTCTTTCTGCATTGTCACATACCTTTGCTGGGTATTTCCTGACTTAGAAAACTTAAAATTTAGAAGAGATCATGACCACAACAAGTTTTTTGCCTCAAATCAATAACTTTATTTCTGTTTTGGCTTTTGTTACAGGAACCGTAGAAATGATCCTCACTTTGCACATATTGTACCTTACAATCAAAAATCCTCTCAATCAGACTCTTCTGTCTACGCCAAAAGGTAAATTACTGATGTTATTAGCCTTTATATGTACTGCTTTGTAAGTGTAGATATCAGGGTCYGTGCAGGTSCTTAAATCCTTGAAAAGTGCTTGAATTGAAAACTCGTTTTCAAGGGCACTTGAAACTCCTTGAAAATTTGAAAATTTCGAAAAAGTCCTTGAAAACTCCTTGAAAAACATAGATCCCTATCACGAAGCACGAGCGATCTCTGAATTATTACGTTCGGCTGAAGTTGTGGGGTAAAAATGTACAATTAGCATGATTATGATGTTCCTTGAAAATACAATTTTGGTCCTTGAAAAGTCCTTAAATTTCGTTTTTGATACTCTGCACGGAGCCTGAGATATACAACGTTTTCTTTCTAAAACACCGGTATATTTCATCAGTGTTAACAGACAAAATAGACAAGAATCTGTACATATAGGTGAAGGTTCCTGGTGTTCACACAAATAGCCTTTTTTAGAGAGCAGGAATCTTAGCCTGCATACTTTCTTGCAGTATATACTTGACGTGCATATTCAGCCTCAAATCTACAACATTTCAGGAAAATATCATATTTAAGCAGCTTTGACCTCCCTCAACAGCGTTTATTGATATATAATGACAAAATCGAACCCTATGTTCAAATAAAACATTGAAATGGTTTCAGGTCCTWTTGAGCCTACAGTTGTGTAAAAAGTGATTTTGAAACTGGAGTTCAGTTTATTAAAACACAATATAATAGTCTTCTTTGCATTTCCCTGCACCATTTTGAAATATGCTTGTAACCTTTCCTTGCATCAAAGTGAGACGAGCCTGCAGTGATAGACACCTCTGGATATTTGTCTATGGCTGCCAATGAAGGTTTCTTTCATTGTACACTCATTGGTCGTCTTTCTTGATGTAAAGGCATCATGGGTTATATTAAATTTTCAAGATGGGAGAGGAAACTGAGAAGGAGGCTATACTATAAACTGCATGGAGCTCTCCTTTCCTGTATCTCTGTTTTTGTATAAAATAGAAATGATAGAAAATTATAGTTCTAGAGAAGGAGGTTATTCTGGAAGGAAGAMCCTTTGTGCATGGTTAACAAGAATATCATGTGTATATTATCTAGACCATACGACACTGCCATTTTCGTATTGATATTRATAATTGTTTTGTTTTTCTCTTCAAAGCAATAAAAGAAAAAAGTACTCATATGATGATGATATCAAAATTATCAAATATGTGAAACACAAYTCATCAGCGAGTATGCCAGCTGGTGGAAATGTACTTTGGAAAAATATGGCAAATCAGAAAGTGAGTGTTGATGATATGTACATTTTAGCCTGTATACAAACATCCCCCTCTCCCCCCTACAGGAAACTTTTTGGGAGGAAACAAATTCGGGGAGGAAACAATTCCCGAATTTTCCCCTAGGGGGAAGGGGTGGGAACAAATGTACACAAGCTAATGTACATTTAAAACAGGAATTAGTCTTTACTTGATACACTTTTCTTGGCTTCTTTTTAGGTTACTAATCATACGTGGCAATCAATGAAAAAGCATTTTAAAGTGTTTCTCMGAGATAAGATGGATCAAACATTGGAGAACTTGCAGGCAACTTTAACGTTAAACAGACTTGGAAAACCACAAGGTATAATCTTGATAGTAAATTTGATGTTACTTTTATATTTACAAAGCTGCGAGATGCAGCTTTGTATTCCAGGCTGATTTTTTAAAATAATTTTAAAGCAATGAATCGCACAAATGTGCCGAATTCACTGAAAATTTTATGGTATGAAGTACATTGTAAAGGCAAAGTATATGTGTTAGTAACAGGGCGGATCCGGGAATTTTGAGGGTTTTTTATTGTTCTGTATTTGCCCCTGTGTTATTCACGTTTGAAACATGCTGATAATTGATACCAAAGCACGGAGCAAACGCTTTCAACATTCGTTTAAGTTGAACGATGTAAAACAGTGTTGAACGATGTTGARTGGCGTGTGCGCAAACTCTTTCAACGTTTGCTTCAACATTTGTTCTATTTTGTTGAACGCGTTTGTACGGGGCTTTCAACATGATTTCAACGACAACTTGAGCAAAAAGTGCGCAGGTGCATGTACTGCCTTTATTTGAAATAATTTGCGACAATGGCCTTAACATTATAACATTATTCAACGTTTTCGAGGAAAAGCAATCTTGAGTGGAAGTCGAAGGACCTAAATAATCTCCAGGGCTAAAAACAAAACAACAACAACAACAACAACAACAAACCATATCTGAGGAAGGCGATTGATTGCCGATAACTGAAGGCTGTTGTTCTCTTTTTAAAAATATTATATACAGTCGAATCTCCCGCAAGCGGACACCCTTGAGAAACGAAAAAAGTGTCCACAAGTAGAAATGTTCGTCTAATAGAAGAATGGGTCTTAAAACGGTCAATTAACGTCAAATATTCTTGTTAAATAGTTAAAAAAGCATTCCTAATGATTAACGGTATCGATTAAGATAGCATGACTTCCTATATATATAGAATGATTGTCATTTAATATATATAGGGAGTGGAGATTTGGACGAAAATTTTCCTTTGATCCACCGTTATTTCGAGCCTTGTTCTAAAAAAATATTATTTAAGCGATCGTCTAGTTTGATTATTGCTGAATTTTGCTTTCTAATCTTCAAAAAGGTGAGCGAATAAAATTGCTATCGGTTTTCTGTTCAGCGAGGAGGGATGGGGGTGGGGAGGGGTCATACCTGTACCTAATAAGGGTAGTCGTCTGTGACGAGTCTCAACACTCACAGTTACTATCTAAGGGCAGATATTCGTTTTAACTATATACTTTACAGCGGTCATCACTGAGGAACTTTTATAAAGGTTTCTCACAGCATGTAGGCATTCTGTCTGCGCATGCGTATGTCACGAAAGCATCTTCGAGAATGGGCGCCATTTTATTTGGAACATGTTCTTTTTCGGGTTTTTCCTAGACTAGATCGCAAGGTTTAACACTTTGAATTGTAATAATTTCAAGTAGAACCGAGAGTATACACGAGTGACTACACTGGCTATTCTTGATGTATTCCTAGGCTTTATATTTCGGTAGATATATTCCTTGAAATGATCTGAAAATAACGAATTTCATTGAACATATGGTTGTCTTCGTTTTGATTTTGCTTGCTTTTCAATTCAGATTTTCTACCTTACGCGATATTGAGGCGAGTATTTATATAATGAAGTTTCAATGTTGACAATACCAATCTTTGCTTCAGTGCCGATCAACCTTTGCTAATGCTTTCTTTTGTATGTGAAAGTTAAAAGGCAGTACTGCTATTTGCCCAACTTCAGCGTCATTTAGCAAAATTTTACTTTCGCCCGTGAATAAAAACAGCACTGAGTGAATATATTACTTCTAGTAATTTCAGAAATGAAGTCATTTTTAAAATAAAAATTGCATAACATAGATCGTTCAACGTTGTAGTTCAACGTTGTAGTTCAACCTTCGTGAATGGCTGCAGTCTTGTCGAGTTTTTAACCATTTTTGACCTTACGGGTACCTCATATTTTCAAGTCTCTGGTGAACGAAATTCCTGGAGAAGGTAAATGGAGTGTTTTTCTTTAAATGTGTTTATTTTAAGCAAAATCAAGGTATTTTTCCTCGTGAAAACATTCTTTCAATACAAACTTTGCCACTCGCATTGTTCTTGCTTTCAATATATTAAAATAACTTTCTGTTCCTACTATCGCCCGTGCTTGTGTTTGTCATCATTTTAAAGCTAAGAAGCTGTAAAATCGGGTGGGTATAGTCAAATTATTGAATAAATTGCGTGCGCTTTTGTAAAGCACTATCAATATGGTGCACATGTGTGGCTGAGTGAACTGTTGTTACGTATGAATCCCTGGAAGCAAATTCGTCGACACAAGATCGAACATGGCTGACTTTTTTTCCACAAACTACACAACCACTTTTTGACCTAACAAACTAGGTAGAATTTATACACTGCGAGTAAACTGCGAATTGAGACCGCCATGATAATTGTTTTGTTTACTTCACGGCGCTCATCTACAAAAGTGCGCGAATCTGCTGGCGGGTAAGCGACGCCGCCGTCTAGATTACGGGCTCATACCAGCGGTTATTACCACTAATGGCGTTTTTCGCGCGCGTGCGCAGACAGAATGCCTACATGCTGTTTCTCACTAGAAGTCTATTGTCTTTTCATTCAACATGGACGCCAGTGTTTTAGGTGTTGTTTATAGAATGAGAGTGCCTGTTTTATCGGGATATATAGATTCGAGCCGCAGGCGAGAATCTATATACCCGATAAAACACGCACTCGAGTTCTATAAACGACTTCTAGAACTCCAACATTCAGAAATTGTTATCATCTTAGAAAAAAGCTAAAAAATGCGAAAGCAGTGATAATGCATATTGAACTTCTAATGAGCATGTGCATTGTGCCACAATTGAAAGAATTTTCATCCCACACGAAAGAACGGCTAGTCTAGCTTTAGTGCATGTCGGCACATTGATTCAAACTGATTTAAAACCTAGCAAAGGTCTATGATGCGACATTAAAACTGAGACCTTTGCTCGTGTTGGGTTGCGATAAAGTTCTTTATATCTGATATAGAACTGATTAATAAAACATCAGTTCTATATATCTCATATAGAACTGATTAATAAAACATCAGTACTTTATCGGATATAAAGGCCCATCATGTGAACCAATAGTTCGATGATCATTGGACTAATAGCTCATGATTTATTATTGAGTTCTAGAAAGTGACCATCTGTCTGCCTAGAGAATAGAGGTAATTACTGCAATAACTACTTCGTGGATTCGAATCCCAGCGAGTTCGGAAATTTAATCCGAATTTATTTCCAATGGTCTTTCTCCCGTCTTAAGCACTATTCCTTTCCTTTATTCTATATCTAATTACTACAAACTGGAATTCGAAAACTCTCAAATATTAGACAATAGAATACAAAAAGGTTCATATATATATTTAAAGTCATATGTTTAACAAAACTGCAAATGAGTGCGCAAACGAATGTATAAAGTAAAAAAAAGAATTTCTGGGACCGCCATCTTGGATTTTTATATTTCACAATTTTGGACACTAAAATTAAGTGAATCTCAAAAGGAACGCAAAAATGATAAACATAAATAAGATGNGTTGTTTATAGAATGAGAGTGCCTGTTTTATCGGGATATATAGATTCGAGCCGCAGGCGAGAATCTATATACCCGATAAAACACGCACTCGAGTTCTATAAACGACTTCTAGAACTCCAACATTCAGAAATTGTTATCATCTTAGAAAAAAGCTAAAAAATGCGAAAGCAGTGATAATGCATATTGAACTTCTAATGAGCATGTGCATTGTGCCACAATTGAAAGAATTTTCATCCCACACGAAAGAACGGCTAGTCTAGCTTTAGTGCATGTCGGCACATTGATTCAAACTGATTTAAAACCTAGCAAAGGTCTATGATGCGACATTAAAACTGAGACCTTTGCTCGTGTTGGGTTGCGATAAAGTTCTTTATATCTGATATAGAACTGATTAATAAAACATCAGTTCTATATATCTCATATAGAACTGATTAATAAAACATCAGTACTTTATCGGATATAAAGGCCCATCATGTGAACCAATAGTTCGATGATCATTGGACTAATAGCTCATGATTTATTATTGAGTTCTAGAAAGTGACCATCTGTCTGCCTAGAGAATAGAGGTAATTACTGCAATAACTACTTCGTGGATTCGAATCCCAGCGAGTTCGGAAATTTAATCCGAATTTATTTCCAATGGTCTTTCTCCCGTCTTAAGCACTATTCCTTTCCTTTATTCTATATCTAATTACTACAAACTGGAATTCGAAAACTCTCAAATATTAGACAATAGAATACAAAAAGGTTCATATATATATTTAAAGTCACATGTTTGATAAAACTGCAAATGAGTGCGCAAACGAATGTATAAAGTAAAAAAAGAATTTCTGGGACCGCCATCTTGGATTTTTATATTTCACAATTTTGGACACTAAAATTAAGTGAATCTCAAAAGGAACGCAAAAATGATAAACATGAATAAAATGAGATAACCATCCATATCAGGTATATGTCAAAAAAAGGAAAAAAAAAAAGAAAAAAAAAACAGCAACAAAAAAGCAAATTAAATGACAAACGTCAGGAGCTGATGCAAACGTAAAAAAATGACATTTTAAAAGACTTTAAATCACATGTTGTCATGGCAACGTAGCATTTATTTTATAATTTTCGCTTATTTATGACCATAGTGCATCCTTGGATTGTTTATCCATCAATTTGATCACTGTTCAGCGAAAGGTAAATTTATTTATAAAAAGTTAAATTTCAAAAAAATCCAAAATTTGGTAAGAACCACCTGTCAAAATCGATTTGCTATGGTGATGTCAAAATATCTTGTTCAACAGCACTTATGCCATTTTGTTCATAGTTAAATGCTTGCAGGAACCTATTATAACCAGATATGTCGGTTACATCTTAAGAGAAAAGAACTTGTTTATAGCAATACTGGTGCGCAGAAGAACACGCACTTTGTTGATTTGGCCGTCTCCCAGATAAGAAAGCAGACACTGATGTCTTGAACACACTTAGTAAGACAATAGATCTAATTGCAACAAACTCGTTTTCAGCAGCAGTCGGAGAGGTAGCTTTTATAGGAAGACCTAACTCGTAAATTGAAATCGCTCAATAACATTGAATATAGAGATGAACAACTCCACAACAGAACAACCATCATCAATGGTGGATGGTCACTTGTTTGTGTCGTTGATTGTCATCAACGCTTTTAGTGCTGTCTTGGCAATTGTTTTAAACCTCTTGGTCATCGTTACTTTTGTCAACACGCCATCTTTACGAACACCTTCGAACATTCTTATTCTTAGTCTCGCCATCACCGACTTTGGTGTTGGTGCTTTGGTGCAGCCTGCTTACTGTACATTTCTTTTTGCTCATATGTCACGGTCTTGTATCGAAGTGTTTATGAGGTATCGAATCCAGCTTTCATTATATTATTTAATGCATCAATTTCGACAATAACTGCCATTACTTTCGACCGATTCCTTGCTCTTCACTTAAGTCTAAGATACAAAGAACTTGTCACCAAGAAGCGCATATCAATGGTGGTAATAATGATCTGGACATTCAGTGTACTGTGGACATGCCTGTATCTTCTCTTGGTAAAAGTGACTGTCGTTATTTCGCATATTGATAATTTTTTATTTCTTTCCATTTTGGTACTTACCATTTCTCTGATGTTGAAAATATCTTGCTTTATTCGTCAACATGCAGCGCAGATTCAACTTCAACAGCAGGCAATGAACGCACAGCCTGGAGCAGCAGTGAACATTAAGAGATCTGTGAATATTATGTATTATATACTTGGAACATTTTTCCTGTGTTATTCCCCTACCATTGTTACTTGGATTATTCAAGCCTTTAAATTAGATATTTCAACGGTCGAGGTTCGGACTATTCTCTTTATGAACAGCAGTATCAATCCAATCATATATTTCTGGAGAATACCAGACATGCGAAATGCTGCTCTTCAATCATTGCGATCTTTTCGAAGAAACAACAACAACAACAACAACAACAACAACAACAACAACAACAACAACAACAACAACAACAACAACAACAACAACAACAAA